AACCACCCTTTTCAAGGACCTTCCACATTTTTGGGACACCCTGTATAGACACTTTCTATATACTCAAAAGTCCCAATAGGTTATGTGTAAACAAAGATATACGATGTTAAATCCATCCAGCGGCAAAACACAACGAACTTCTTCGAATATCCATTATTTCTATTGAACAATTTCAAGTTCCCGATTTTTCCACAGAGAAAAGAAATACTTCTGGTAAGCGAGTCGCATCCTTTCAGAAATGAGAGTTTTCCGATCAACGATTCGATCATGGCGACCGGAAACTTGGAACTTCAACACCTGGACTTGGGATGTAAATATTTCTCACTTTACTGAAGGTATCGTTAAGTCAGATTTAATATTTAATAAATCTCGAATCGGATCTTTTTCGTCTAGATAACTATCTGACGATCGGTACTTTGAAGAAATTGATAGAGTGCTTGCGTTATCAGAATTATATGTTACTCGGAGACTCGACCAAAGGAATTTTACACTGCTTTCTGGAGGTAATAAAGCACGAAGCGTTTTCATAATTATTTTTAACATACTTGAGTTTTCCAAGCCTTGAATTATTAAATATTTCCGATTTCATGTTTAAAACCACCTTTAGGATACCAATACAATAATTTTTGGATTTACTACATACTTGTATTTTCCTGTTAATATACAAAGAAGTCAGTGTTTACGATTTTTGTTTATTACTTATTAAATTAATGAAGAACTAAAAGATGGATATGTTATTAAGGATACCTTAAAGTGGTTTTGTGTGTTGAATATAATAATAATTAAAGGAAATATACAGTGTGTCCCGGAATTAGTGTAAGAACCGGAAGTGGAGGGTAGCTGACACTATTCTGAACAACAATTTAAGAAAATATATATTTTTTTCAAATACAAGCACATCATGCATTCTGGATCTTAATTATTTTCAAATTTCTGTTTCCTTTTATATATAGAATGGAAATATCGAAAAGAAAGGTAACGAAGATTGGTCCACGTATGAGGAACTCTTGAGGATGAGACAAGACGGAAAAACGTTTGCAAATGATACTTTTCGTGAATTCATGTCAGAAGAGATCGAAATCCTACGTAAAAATGTCAAGTTAATATGTTGAATGAATTTAGAAAGGAAATTCATATTAAATTCTTTATTAAGTATAAAGAAATATAGAGAATTTCGTATATTGAGTATACATTTTTATTAAAATGATCTATTAGAACAATTTATAAAACTGAAGTGCAGGGTTTCTATAGATTGTATATACTAAAAGTGCAGGTCAGTGCAGGTCATTAGTTGCATTATATTAGAATATAAATATATTTGTATATACATAAAGCATATTATTGGTTTCTCTTTTTATGCAGTATACAGATTTAGAGAATTTCGTATATTGAGTATACATTTCTATTAAAATGATCTATTATGGCAATTCATAAAGCTGAAGTGCAGGGTTTCTATAGATTGTATATTTAGAAAGAGTGCAGGTCAGTGCAGGTACGATGTTGACGCATGCGCAGAGGGGACGAATATCACTCTATACCTTTCTCTCTCGCACAGACTTTGGACCAGAGCTGTAAATTCTTAATTACAATTACAAAACGATTACTTGACTAAGTAATTGAATAATTACATGTACATATTATTATATATGTATATTATTTTCCTAACAAATTGCCATTACAATTACTCCTCGGTCGAAAAGTAAAGAATATATCCTTCGTATCATTATAATGATACTGTTCTAAAATTTTTAAAATTGGTCTTATCGGATTTTTTTTGCTACGAAGATAAATTGAGGAATGAGAGGTGGAAGAAGATCGAGGGAAATCGATCAAAGAAAATAATATAATAATGGATTCTTGATGATACTTTGGATCATGTCACGAAAGACTCTTATCGTTTGAACTTTCGACCTTTCGTGAGCCAGGGAGAGCCCAGGGTTGTACGCGTCGAACGGTTCGCGAAAACGCTAGTTTTGTCGTGTTGTAATTTCCGACAATGTTGTTTCACATTGCTGCCGCGGCGGTGCTCACGAATATCGCGATTCTGGAGATCTATTCGTTCTATGACATACCGGGAACCATGGACAATCATTTGTTATTGCACAAGGTAAATCCACACTTCTATACTACTCGAATATCTTTTTTTGTCGTTGCTTCGTGGACTCGATATATTTTTTACTTTTAAGGCCAAACATTGGCGAAATACGAATGACACCTACGAACTCCTTTTAGGTTACAGTGAGTCCTCAAGTTACGCGAATTCATAGATACGCAATCGTGCCCTTACTTTTATTTTCGTACATATTTCCATGTGTACAGGGTGTCCCAAAAATGTTGGAGGTCCTTGAATAGGGTGGTTCGGGGAGAGATTTGAAACAATTTTTTCCCTAGCGAAAATGTTGTACGAAGCTTCGTTGAGGAGATATTAACGGAAAACACTGACCAATCAGAGCGCGTGGCGCCCGCGCTCCCCGACCAATCAGAGTGCGAGGTGCCCGCGCTCTCCGACCAATCAGAGCGCGAGTTTGCCGGTCGAGCGTAGGCTACGCGCTAGGTGACCGCTCCATTGACATACTCGCGCTCTGATTGGTCGGCCGCCTAGCGCGTAGCCAACGCTACCGTTATCGCTCCAACGGTATACGCGCGCTCTGATTGGTCAGTGTTTATCCGTTAATATCTCCTCAACTAAGCCTCAGACAACATTTTCGTTAAGGAAAAAGTAGTTTCAAATCACCTTCTTCAAGGACCTCCAACATTTTTGAGACACCCTGTATATACCAATTAAAATAATACTAAATAATTATTCGCACAATTTTTCTATTCGTAAAGATTACAGATGAACTTGCTGAACTCTAATTCACTCAATTCAACATTCATTCAATTTGTAATAAAAACTGTAAACTAAATGCACAGAAAACGAAAAATCAATTCTGTTGGAAATTGTACGAGTCAACTTTAATCAGTCTCTGAAAGGTTTAATATGATACAAAAATTACTCCACTCTATACACATAACCCTCACCGATGGTATCGCAATATTCATCTTTTCGTCTACATGACATCCGCGTAAATCGAGGATTTAATTTGTATTATTGATATGAGAAAACTAACAACATTCTAGTTACTTTCGAAATCTATGGCTCAATCGGATTTTATGTGATGTCTCGAGTAGGTTGTTTCCTTGACAAACGCATGCCGGAAATGCAGCAAATTTGATTACGAAACGTATATCCGGTAAAGAATTATACACACGTGACCTCTGGTGCCAGAGAGCCACTAAGCAGCACGTAACAGAAAGTGAGACGTTGTCAGACGTGTCGTCGCGGTTCGCATTACACGATATCGTATATTTGCGAAAAAAAGTTGCGCGTTAAATGTTGTGCCGCAATCCTGCACGAGTTCAAACGATTCCAGTGTACTCTTCACCAGTGTAAATAAACCGTTCTCTCCGAAACACACACTACGAATGAACTCCGGTTCGCCATAACCAAAGTCCTGTTCGTCGCAATTGATCACTCAGTACGGCCATCTAGCGTGTACCGAAGGGAAATTCAAACAGTGCCGCCATCTCTGACCAACGTTGTCGTTGATTGGGGCATCGAAACGATCGAGAGTTTAAATTTGAAAATGCAAAACAGATTTCGAAACTGTACATCGATTTAACTGACACATTAATCGAGACAATTGACAATGTACGAAAATCTGTTTAAGAACCCGTTGTATCGCGTGTTCGTTTACGGAACACTGAAACGAGGGGAGCCGAATCACAGTCTGATCCAAGACACTGCGAACGGGTACGCGAAATTCCTGGGACTTGGGAAAACCACGGTTCAATACCCATTAGTTATCGCAACGAGATATAACATACCGTTTTTGTTGAAGAAACCTGGAGTTGGTCACGTGAGTACTGCACGTGTTACTAAAGTAATAATGTTAATCGATGTTCCTCGTGGTTTGTTATACAGAGTGTTAACAAATACGTCGGAACTTTTTTCAGGATCAATATAAATCGGTATTCACATCGATATAAATCGGAAGGTCCTTTACCAATCTGAAACTTCGTTATGTAAGCAGTTGAAATCTTACAGGTGCGGCTTCCGTTGCGTGCTGTTTCAGTGTTTATCAGCTCTATTTGCGCAGATGTACGCACACGTGTACGCACTCTCACGGGAGAAACACACACTGATACACACTTACTGCACTTGAAAATGACCTGGGAGTCGAATAAAGTTTAGGCTAAGAACATGAAGACTGTATACGGAGATCCAACTCCCTAAGAAAGGTACTAGAAAACTTTTAGCAAAATCCCGAGCTTGAAGTTATGAATATTTCGTCCTCTCGCGACGTAAGTGGTAGAAATATTCATAACTTAAAGCTCAGGATTTTGATAACACTTCTACACTACACAGTTAGGACTCCTTATACAGTCTTCATGGGCTAAGTATACAGGGTGTCCCAAAAATGTTGTAACACCTTGAAAGGGGTTCGGGAGGTGATTTGAATCAACCTTTTCCTTAGCGAAAATGTTGTCCGAGGCTTCGTTACGGAGATATTAACAGAAAACCCCGGACCAATCAGAGCGCGTAGATTCCGGTGGAGTGCTCGCGGTAGCGTATGAGCGCGGGCGCCTAGTGCGTAGCCACGCCTACTGCTGACGCTCCGGCATACGCGCGCTCTGGTTGGTCAGTGTTTTCCATTATTATCTCCTCAGCGAAGCCTCGGACAACATTTTCGCTAAGGAAAAAGTTGTTTCAAATCACCACCCGAACTACCACCTTCAAGAAACTCCAACATTTTTGGGATACCCAGTATAGTCATAGCTGTAAATTTCAACTGTTTATATCTCGATAACAAAGCTTTAGATCAGAAAATGGTAGACTTTTTGATTTATATTGGCACGAAGACTTGATTCTGAAAAAATCCTACATAATTATTTACATCGTATATATGTATAAGTTTATAGATTATCCTGAGTAGAGAAGGCAAAATTCTCTTGTAAATAAAAAATGTGAAATCGGAAGTAAAAATAAACAGTACTCAATGTACTCTTTGATCGATAAAAATTATAATTGAATTATATTAGGTGGACTGGAATGTAATATCGTTTATTTTACATTAAATTCAAACAAATTTTTAATACATTCCTTTTTTTAATCAATTACGTAATCGTCCTCGTTATCAACAGCCTTTTGCCATCTAATGTTCAAATTGTCAATGCCAAATCGATAAAAATCAACGAGCTGATGAGTACTTTAAACAAGTATTTCAAATTGAAAAAACGACATTATTTTCCGGTCCACCTAATAGTATTAAATTATATTACGTCTTGAACGTATTGGAAAAACTGTTGGGTCAAAAAAACGTCGCGAATAAATCGTTGTAAACATTTTATATTCGTCATCTGTTGTTCGGATAAAATTCTGCCTATACGAATAAACTTATTGGACAAAATAACGCTCCTAGTGGCGAAGCGATGTACTAATATTCACCGTTATCGATCAATTAATAATTGTGGATCTTTTCTCCACTAGAGCGTCTGCATGTTTTTATGATGGACACTGCCATCATTCCTTTTAATAATATTAGGTGAACTGGAAAGTAACGTCGTTTTTGCAATTTTAAATACTTGTTTAAAGTACTCATCAGCTCGTTGATTTTTATTGATCTGGCATTGACAATTTGAACATTAGATGGCAAAAGGCTGTTGATAACGAGGACGATTACGTAATTGATTAAAAATTTGTTTGAATTTAATGTCGAAGAAACGACATTACTTTCCAGTCTACCTAATAATTCATTTAGAATTGATTGGAATTTAACTAAACGTATAGTTTCATAGTTCTACCTTTCGAATGTAAATATTGATGCTAACATTAACGTTAAATCCGAGTCTTTCATTTCATTCACTATTACAATTTTTTTTTTATTTCTCCCTAATTCAAATTTGTTTATACTTACACATAACAGCATGTTCTGGGTGAAATATACGATGTTGACACTAAAATGCTAAAGAAACTAGACGAATTGGAAGAGCACCCAGCGTTTTACCAAAGATCGGAGGCAGACGTTCTGATGGCTCCAGAGGCTAAGATTAAAACAAACGATAACTTCGAAGAGGTAATTATCCTCATGGATACATAGCATGGAATGTTTACAGTTAACCAATTGGTTTAATTTATTATATGTTCTCAGGTTGGTACCTTGATGAAAGTCTGGATATATTTTCTACCAAAGTTCAAGGCATCCTTGTTGGAGGGCCCCATGTATACCTCCTATAGTAACGAAGGAAGCCACGGATTAAAGTATTGCGAGAAGTATGTTCGTGATGCCTCGTTCGATCACAGAAACGAAGTTCAACTATCCTGTTAATCATCCCCTGAAATATTTGTTTCCAGTGAGGAGAGTACAATAAGGCCCGAAGATCTGTTTTGATGAAGCGTATTTGCAAAATGTTCATTGCCACTTCATTGCGCACGAACGCTTGAACGTTCACACTGTTATTCGTGGTAGTCAATAAAAGATCATCCATCACATTAAATTACTGGAGTTTAACTCCTTGCGCTTCGATGCATCTATACAACGAATACCGTCTTTTATCGGAAATTCTGTATAGACGTTGAGAATGTGAAGGGTTCAGTTATCTCTATAGCTGTGGAAACAATTTGTAGTTGATATTATGACTTCCAGTTATGAACTAGATCCTTAATGGAGGCTCCTTTTACGTCATGCTTCGACGTGGACGGAAGATAGCTACTCAGTGGCATTTAACAACTAATTTTTACATTTTTAATACCAGCAAAATGTTGAAATGTAAAGTATTTATCAACTGTAAGATCCTGTACCGTAAAACCTTAAAATATCTTATCCAGTAACATTTCAAACGATATTATTTTGTTAACAATGCGAATTAATCAATGAGGCGTTTCAGAATGTACACTGGTTACAAAAACACCAAATCTATGTAACGGTTGAAAATTACCTTATATATTATGTAATCCTCGAAGCACGAAAAAATATATATATCTCGTATAATGTGATATACAATGAGAAAGCATCGAACCGCGCGTACACAGTTACTTGCAAAATCGTTTATTATTCGATTCTCACAATCAAATCTTGAACATCGCGTGTTGTTGGAGGTATACGAAATGAAATAATGAAGAATGATGCCAGAAGATTTCTGTGTGTGAATTTCTTTCATTTTTTTTTTTTTTTTTATTTATTAAGTTTATCGTTCGCCACGCTGTATTCCACTCTCTTCCGCGCAGTCTCGCTTCCTCTGTCATTCTATCGCTTTCTCTCGGTTAACAGTCGCGATAAAAATTATTTTATTTAATCTATTCTGTAACAAAAAGGCAGGCGAAGTCCACGTGTCATCCTGATGACTCGGTGCTGTCATTCGAGAGACACACGTCGCCACGTGATTTTATTTATTTCCCCCCGAATTAGATCATTAATTACGATCAGAGATCGTCAACCTCATTCCTTCTTCACCCAACTTTTCAGAGAGTTGGATGAAACCGCCCGAAAAATTACAGGTTGGCGATTTCTAGTTTTATCGAAGTCGGTCAACCAATTCGTTCATTGAAAGAAAAATAATATGTAAAATATTTTTGTTCGTTATGTCAGTTAATCTCTTCAGGCTTTTTTTTATCATCTTGGTATAACCCTAGCCATCAATCGTACACAGTACTACGTGTGTACGGTACTCGAGTTTTCACTTCATTGAAAAATGAACGAAGTAATTGGCCAACCGAATAGCATAACTTTCCGTAATGGTCTACGTGGAAATGCCCGTGAAACGTCTCTTTAATCTTCGAGATAGGACAACTGACTATTTACTCTCGTTCGAGTATGCACTCCATTTCGCGTGTTCCAGAACTAGCCGCGAGATCACCGACACGCATCGTGGGTGGTTCACGAAAATTAAAATGCTTTTAAGGCAGTACGTGTACGTTGTCCTAGGAAATTTATTATAAATAATCACATATTTTTTCTTTTTATATCGTTCACTATACAAGGCTCCATTTTTTTTTCTCTTCCACGCTTCTGTGTATATATGGCTCGTGTTTCACTTCGCTTCTCAAGCTTTTATTCGTACCTTTTTTTTTTCAAAAATAACAGCGCTAGCACCCCGAGTTCCTGATCACACACAGGAGAACCCCACCATTATCAACTCCTAGAGCTTCCATTATCCTTTTTTTCACGACAGAAATCTCTAAATTAACAAAAATAATTAAACAAGCGTCAACAAAAGCGTACATACGTCTTCCTTTTGTATATATTGTAGTATTCGATACGCGTGTGTGTCTCTGTCTCTCTCTCTCTCTCTTGTTACTTTTTGTATACACCTCTCAAGTTTTTCTCAGTTTTCGTACTTGTCCGTTTTCCGATATATATCTATATATATATTCGCGTATATTTTTTTTTTTTGATCAGTATATCCGTTTTCTTTTTATTTCCTCGTATTGTATGTTTCACGCCGTTCCAAAGCCCAGCCCCGGAATTCAGTTATTCTCAATTAACATATACATATATATTTATACATACATATATCTTAATTCGCCTATTCATTTTTTGTGTTCGTTGACGTATATCGCTGCTGAGCGAAACGATTGCTCTGAAAAAACTGTCCAAGCAATGTCATCGTTATTTTCGAAAGGTTCCTCGATCATGATCGATTGATCTCTTTCGCTGCAATCGTTTAACTTAACAGATTATTCTCTTGCGCGTTCACGTAAAGTATACACATTTACACGTTTCGTTTTTCTCATCCTGGTTTGTCATGTTTGAGTATCCATGTGCCCTAATCTATTTTTGCGATATTTCGAAAGCGATCGAACGTGGCACTAAAGCATGCACGCTAAATGAAAACAGCACCGTGCGCAAAATTAATGCGACCGCGCAAACCCTCTTCTAGCGTCCTATCTCAGCTTCCGCTGCGCCTCGCGAACCGTATTTCTCTTGTCGAGTACAATATATATCGGTTAAAAAATTAAATACAAAAGTCGGTGCTAAATGTTTGAGCATATCTCTGTATGAAAATAAACCTCCGCGAGAACGTTGAACGTCCCATTATTCGTGATGCATACGGTTTTGACGGCAGACAAAATTCTTATCGAACGAAATCAATTTACAGCCTGGGCTTTTCGAAAACTAGGGCATGTACGTGATCGTGATGTATACTATGATACACGTTCGTTGCGTTCTATCCTAGAAAACGTATTTTATAGCGCAGCTGGGCCACGAAACGGAGAGAGGCGATGACGTAATATTGATTGTTTGTCATTTGATTGAATCAGAGAAGATGCTTTCAGCTCTGATCTTGCGAGAGGGCACCGTATTTGTTATCCAGAGAAAGTTTGGGCGCTTGAGCTTGCGAATCTTGCACACCGTATGATCTGCTTCCCCCTCTGTTACGCACTTCTTCGAACGTACCTTCGTCTCGTTTCCTGAAACAAAAGTGTCGTTCCTAAATTAGATTTTGTCTTATAATCAATTTAAATGTTCCTAATGTGGGAATATCGTTAACTCCTACCGTCTACCCCATGGCCCAGTGGGTTCAGCGCCTTGTTGTTGTTTTGAGTTCAATGTTGGGAAGTACTCTTCGCTATGTATATCTGGAGCAATATTTTTCCCTCGTTGTCTGGGACTACTACTAGCTACAGTTTGAACAATTCTGAAACGTGGTGCCTTATAACTATTTCCCGATGAAGTAACAGGTGGTGGAGTTGGAGCTGCTTCTTCTGCCACAACTTCTTGAGGTGCTGCAGCAGGTACATCGGGCTTCTTCCATGGCCCTGCATGTTTAGTACCGCCTTCTCCGCATTCTCCATCGGAACTATTGTCTCCTGTGTCTTTTTCATCGTCGGATTCTGCATCGAGAGACTCGTTAAGTGTTAAATTTCCTATTTTTAAACCGGTATAATCCTTTTTTTCTTCTTCAAATTCCCTCCATTCGTCTTCTTCCTAAAAATAACGTATATACTTGTCTATGAGGACATACAAAGATTTTTGAATATGGTTAAAATGTATTAGGTTTTCCTGTTTGTATATAAAAAAAAATTAACTTGTTATAAATTAATTTCTTATAAATAACATCAAAAGAATTTTTCTATGTCTAATTTCATGTTTTATGCATTAGAATGACTTGTCAATTGGCTATCTGAAAGGTTGTCATATTAAATTGGTTGGTTTTGTTTATGTAATAGAAATCTTATTGTAAGTTTTAATGGCATTAATCTCAGAGCAGTCGTTTGATGATTATGAAAGTATCGGTAATAATACTCTTGAGAATCTCATTAGAAGCATACTAAATAGAATTTTTGAGTTACTTAATCATTATGGATGTTTTATTGACTATTGAAATTCATTGTTTTTTGCTATATATCTAATCATTGTATATTCCAAGCATTGCCTCTAATGCTAGGTTAGTCGGTTTACCATATGCAGTAATTGTCTATGATTATTCAATTTGTATATATGCACAAGCTGTAAGAGTATTCTATGCACAGCATGTATTAGATTGTCCCAAAAGTTTCTTTCGTTTTATTAATAATTAATATATACACAATATTCTATGTTTTATGTTACATTACTGAATTGTGTACGATTCATTTCACTTCATTACTGTTACAGTATCAATGTCTAAGAAATTAGATTGTCTATTTATATAAACACTGGCACAGAAAATAATTGAATGCAACTTACAAAAGAAACTTTTGGGACAACCTAATACTTGTGTCCAGAGATGGGGAAAACCCAATGCTTAGAATGAATTTGAAGTTTGCTGATGTGTTTGTCTTGTTTCCTTCTTTGGAAAATGTTCAAAAGAGGAAACGAGACAAACATATCGGTAAACTTCAGATTTATTCGAAACCTAGGGTTTTGCCTATCTCTGCTTGTGTGCAAGTCATATACAACGGTTAAAGTTAAAGAAACATTTTTTATGGAATGAATTATGAATATAATCACATTAAAAATGCTAGAAAAGAAAAAAGTGTGTCTCAATGCATAAATATTTTTCCTCGCTGATCGATTCCATAAAAGAGGTTTCTTTATATTGTTTAGTACTAATGGAGTAAAATTTTAGATCTGTGCTTTCGAAGACACAATTTCCAGTAGAGCTATAATTTGATCCCAAAAGTCTAGGGAAGGTTGGAATGACCTAATACCGTATCAAGGCGTGCAGCTTGGAAATGTGTTAGACAAACAGCGATCGGGAAGCTATTTTTCCCACGGGAACACGCGCCAGATCGGGAAACAATCGCGCATAATGATAATCACGAACAGCTGCTCCGCGTCGGCGAGTTAACTGCAGGGATCATTCGTGTCCGCGTAGCGATCAAATTATATAACAAACAAACCGGTGTTTCGACAGCGTCGGAGCATCAAGCACATCGGATTACGGTGGTCTCGAAGCGAGCAGATTAATTTCGGCAATCGTAAGAATGACGTTTGCACGAACAAATATGGCAGCGGCCTGTGCCACACACGGGTGATCTGGTACTTTCTTTGCTATGCGGTTCAAGAATCGAAGTGATAAGAAAAAAATAGAGAAAAGTATACGTTAGAGAAGAAAGATAGTCCTCACCTCGATTTGTTGGGTCTCCTCGCCTTCCGGATTCGTAGGTTTGTCTTTCGTTTTCGACTTTCCCAACCGTTTCTCCGTCTCTTCCAATTTCTTCGCTATCTCCTCGGTAGTCGTGAACTTCTTCCCTTTCGCTTTTTTGCGATCCTTTTTCGCGAAGAAATCGTCCAGGTCAGCCATGCTGCGATGACTTTCGCGATCCACGCGCGAGCTGCCGTCGGGAAAGCCTTTTTTTGTCACGAGGGAGCACGAGGAAGAGCCTCAACACGAAGTGATCGGAGGCACCGCTGCTGCTGCCGTCCACATGGGCTTGTCTTGACCGGAAGTAACCCGGAGTCACTTCGGAGTCAATGCGATTCCCGAACAGGCGTCGAGTTTTTATAAGCGGGACCCGTCGCCGTGAAAAATAAGCCAATAAATCGGGCAACCGCATACGTCGTTCGGTTTATCGGCGTACACCGTTTGAATTTCATGAAACATCGAGATATTTGCACCCGACCTGGTCGAATATGTGGCGCTGGCTGTCTAGCAGAAGACCGATACAAAAAATCCGAGGGTTACCTAACCTAAAAGTCTCGTTAGGAAATTATCGAAACAGCGAAACTGTTTAGGGTATACTAGGTAAAGTTGTCGCGTTGCGTAACTTTTTAGTCGCAATTGCGATTCACGGGATCACGGGAAAGAGCGACACGTGTAATAAGTACGAGTAATGCAGAGGTTAATTCATCCACGAATACTTTACGTTCCGCGTGAAGTTGGTGGCGCCACGCGTTGTATATCGCCACTTCCGGAATACGAAACGAGGCTCGAACTTGCTCGATGACGTTCGTTCAATACAACCGGGAGAAAGTTGCATTCATTAATCCTATACTGAAGCGAAACATCTATTAAATATCGTTCTTTACGTTACGTTTTATGCTAACGTTAAATCTACGTGTTTTTAATATTTTTCAACAGGTAGTTAATTGGAAATATTTATGAATGAAAGAGTTATTTTTTTATCAAGTTCTCATTTAATTATAGAAATATATTCTCAGTTGGTAATTTAAATTTATTTATTTGGTACTACGTATAATCACATTTTATGCTAACGTTAAATCTACGTGTTTTTAATATTTTTCGACAGGTAGTTCATTGGAAATATTTATGAATGCAAAGAGTTATTTTCTTGTCAAATTTTTATTTAATTTTAGAAATATATTCTCAGTTGGTAATTTAAATTTATTTATTTGGTACTACGTATAATCACTGAGCTATGGATTGTATCGTATTCAAAACGTATGCAAAATACATAAATTCTATATTTATTTAAATATCCATAAAATGTATACTTTATTTAAATATAAATTTTATGTATTTATATTTAAATACTTAAATATATTTATATATTATATTTATAATATATTTATATTTAAATACTTAAATATATTTATATATTATATTTATAATATATTTATATATTATATTTATATTATATTTATAATATATTTATATATTATATTTATATTATATTTATAATATATTTATATATTATATTTATATTATATTTATAATATATTTATATATTATATTTATAATATATTTATATTTAAATAAAATATACATTATATGTATTTATATTTAAATACATAAAATGTATACTTCCATATTTATTTAAATATACAAAAAATGTATATTCAAATTAAAAAAAAAATCATAATTTAATGTAGTAATGTTAATGTTTTATTTTTCCTAAGATATCATCTGCGCGCGTTTAGCATATGACCATTCGACATTAATCACTCGCATCGATCGACCATTAGATTAATTGCGGATTGAGAATTGACAACTAAATCAATCATTAATTTCTGTAACGTTCCATTATTTTTACGGAATAACGAATCATCAGATTGATCTAATTTTTGGTTATTTAAATAATGATCTTTCCTTTGAAAAATCTCGTTCATGGCAAACCCATATTTCAGGCCAAATTCTGTCGGTATACAGCGCCCTGCATTATCCGCGAATAAATATGTGTGCAAAACCGTTTATAAACATTTCTTACAGATTAAAAAAAAATCCTCAAAACGAACTAAAAAATTTTCCTTTCTTTAACAGACTATGTAATATGTAATGAATTACAAAAAAATAAGCAAATATTGTAGATAGATACTGACTTGTAATTTTTGTTTCAAATATTCGCATACTCAAAATGATCCCTATATTTTTTTAAATATTTTCGTTAAACTGATAACAAAAATTGTTTGTTAGGTGCAATAGTAACAATTGTAGAAACTATTTTATTGAATAAGAAATCAAAGACATCTCAATTTTTTTTTAACGAAACTGTGTATTCTTGTATGTATTAACAGATGTAAATACTTTTACATTCTCTTTAAAAAAGTATTCGGATGAATACAAGAACAGAAAGGTTGGCTGGAATGTCCACGTGCACGTGTTACACACTATTATTAAATAGTAAATAGTATAAATATTATTCATTGAAAAATTCCATAAAAATTATTTCAATTATATCAATATATTATTAATATATATATTCATATATATAATATTATTTAATATATATATATATATATATATATATATATATATATATATAATATATGAATATGTGTCTGTTAATATGCTTATTGATATGTATATTATTATATATATATTATTATATATATATTCATATATATACCACTAATTTAAACAAAAACATAATGTAAGCTGCATATTTTCTGATATAACAGGTCTTCTTTAAATAAATTCCAAACATTACCTTGAAAAAAAAAATATATAAATGTCGAATTGAGTAACCTCCTCCTTTTCGAAGTCGATTAAAAATCAATATTTGTGCCTGATAAAAGACGACTCTCCTCTCAACAAGTTTATCTCTCGTCGAATGCGTAATATCTCCTACGTTGTATCAAAATGTGCGATACAATATCGAATACCCGATCGTCATGGTCACGAAGTTGTTTGAAAGTGGAGCCACGGGCAGCCCCACTTTCTCGCTCAGTGCTACGCAGCCGCGCGCGAGCGTTAGCGATCATATAGCGGTTCCCTTTCTTGAAACGACAGTAATCGCGTTCTAGCCTTGTCACGAACCATTGCGACCGGCGGTGTCTCCTATCCTCGTACCGGTGTACTACGCGACAGAGCCATCGCGGTATTTCACCTGCCCGCTGTAGATTCCTCTGTCGGAAGGCTTGACAGTTTTCGCGTGTTTCGAAAGCGACGAAAAGAGCGGTCCGAGCGCAGCCCGGTCCGTAGCGCGATCGTGGAAATCGAGCCCGGCGGCCAAAAAAGGTGTTCATGTGTTACGACGCACGACAAAATGAAGCTCACGACGAAGTGTTTCGGAACCATCAGCAAGATGCTGGACTTTTACTCGCAGTTCAACCCCTCGCCGCTTTCGATAAAACAGTTCATCGATTTCGGTGAGTGAGGAACGAGGGAGAGTGGTCTTTCGCTTATTGGCACACGATGCGTTATCTCCTCGACGTCCGAGTCGAAAATGTCGAAAAGTCTTATCCCGTATACGTTTTTCTCGCGGTGTGTACGCGTCCGTGCATCAATCTCGAAAGGGATGCACGTCGATCGGACGTCGACCTCGAGTGAGATCTTTTCAGGATCCATCGAGGCCATCTACCGAGTTCTCTAGTTTGCACCACATGGTTGATTCTTACAAAAATATCAATTCTGGATCGATGTCAATTTTCTCGTCGATCGAAGCATAGGTAGATAGAAACAAGTGAATTGAGATTGAATTCGTAACTTAAAGATTGATAGGGATAGGCTATTGAGAAGAAAAAGGACTATGTGTACACATAGAACCATTTCGTGCAATTTGAGACGTTTTTATCTTGATGTATTGCTTTAACCGTTCTTATTTCGCTCTTGACTACGAAACAGTTGCTCCTTTTTCTCTGTAATTTACATTATAATAATTATGAATTTCCTAGTTGATTTTAGAATGTTAAATACGTGCCCAGAATATTTATATTTCTTTTTCTATGTAATTACATATTTACAACGAGGAGGTTGGAACAGTCGTTTTGGAGACGATTGAAATACTTATCACTTGACCTCTGTAGACGTTTGCGAGTAATTTTACGAAATCTTGTTTTATTTTTCGTGATAATAATGAATCTAACTTTTTCTTAGTAGTTTTTTCGATTGAAGCAGTAGCTTACGAAATCTTGCTTTATTTTTCGTGATAATAGAGACTCTGATTTTTCTTAGTATGCATCGTAGTTGTTTATTAGCTCAATTATATTGTTCAATTGATTAATATTGATCCAGATATACAGGGTGTCCCAAAAATGTTGTAACACCTTGAAAGTGGTGGTTCGGGAGGTGATTTGAAACAACGTTTTCCTAAGCGAAAATATTGTACGAGGCTTCGTTGAGGAGATATTAAGAGAAAACACTGACCAATCAGAGCGCGAGTATGCCGGTGGAGCGCCCACGGTAGCCTATGAGCGCGGCCGCCTAGCGCGTAGCCTCGCCTACTGTGGGCGGCTCCACCGGCATACTCGCGCTCTGATTGGTCGACGTTTTCTCTTAATATCTCCTCAACGAAGCCTCGTACAACATTTTCGCTAAGGAAAAAGTTGTTTCAAATCACCTCCCGAACCACCCCTTTCAAGGTGTTATAACATTTTTGGGACATCCTGTAGACAAATCCTTTAAGTATGTTACTTGCCGTTGAAACTGAATATTACGAAATAGAGCTAATTATTCGATCGCAATTATCTTTTATTTGTGCTTCAAATAATTCCAGGAACTGTTTCTATTGACCCAGGCATAGGATCATATGAAAAGTTTATCGAGATTCTCGTAAAAAATTTCGAACTATTTTGATAGTGTTTATGAAGTGAAATCAATAATGGTCCTTTGAAACCAGATGATCTGGATATAATTGAAGCTGAATTGACCCATTATCGAACAGATTGGACACAAAACGAAGTTACAGTAAGCTATTTGATCAAAAACGCTTCAATTGACTCCGGTATTCCCAACTTCAAAATATTTCAATTCGGTCTAGCATGCCTGTATTCGAGATATAAAAGAAGAAATTAACCAGAAATTACGTCATTTATTTAATGGAGCGATTTTAGAAGGAAATTTGACGATATATTTTCGATTATAATATTGTTTATTTTCGGAAATGAACGCTCCGCGAGTTGCGACCGATCTGTGCAATTGACAAATAATATTGTCGCAAGGATACAAAAATCGAATAAACAAAATAATTCAGCTACTTAAAGATGCACATGTATGGACCAATATCTAACATTGAACCTCATAAGAAACTGTCGCTAATAACCAAAGGTTGATGCGACGTTAAATATGTAATAAAAAAAAAAAAGAATGGATTTAACTTTATTGTTAGAGTAACTCCTATTTAATTCCATGTGAAATAAAATTTGTAAATCTTTTCTTGTAAATCTTTGATATTAAAAATTGTCCGAGTTTGGATTGGATATATTTGAGAGTATCGACGAAAGAAAAATACTGGTAGAAAGAATAGAAAATTCGTGAATGGTTGTACAACTATAATAAAGATAGTCGACTACTTTATCTATTTATTCCTGCGCACAGAGAATATGTAGTTTCTTGATGGACGTGTAAAAAATGATAAAATGATATTTGCATTCGCTTCTTGTCGTTCCATAGTAGCGTTCACTGCATCACATTATTACCTGCAAATACTAGTTTGTTAGGTAACATGCTACATCTGTGTTTCTTGTTTTGCGAACCTTTAACGTGATTTAACAATACGCGTAGTGATGTAGGGGTTTTAAAAAAGAACACCAGATACGATTTTTTTTCATTTTAAATGGAGAACACGTAATTACGATTAATCTACGATTAATTAACATCACAACTACGTAGACAGGCATAGTTTGGTATTAAAAAAAATAAAATCCTATAACTACTTTTGAAAAATACTTGACTTATAACCAGACTGTGTATTTTATGCATTTATAAAAAACATGTACACTAAACGTATGCAGAATTCTTGCATTTTTGGAAAATGTGATTAATATTATATAGTTAATTTATCAAATATACTTTTTGATACGAATGACGCACGCTATTATGGTATCTAAGCTTCTATTTTGTTTGTCTGCTGATTAAGAGCTGATTAAGAGTCGTCCGCGCACGTGCTAATGACTCGAAGCATTTGTTGCAATAACATCTTGTCTCTCACCTTTGGTCGACTATTATCATTTAGAAATCAACGATTTCAATCCGTCAGTCGGCTCTTTGTTTGCAAACAGTAGAAACACGCGTGAATTATTTCATCACAGTGTCACCTGTTGTTTGATGTATCGATTTTTAATTGACTTTAATTTGATCAATTTATTGAAAACTGTGCTCTGTAGATAACAAAAGCGAAACATCATATAAATTATTATATATCTCTTCGTAACATACTTTTTCTTATACTATTATCACATATGATTTTTTCTTTTTCTTTATCATACATTTACTTTGGATAAATCTTGTTCTTTGAACTTTGCTCATATTTCATTTATTTTTAACCACCTCCCTGTGATTTTGTATCTATCTGACTTAGCTACAATAAATAATACATATTAAAATATATGAGAATTCTTTCCTATATATTATATGTGTATATGTATCTTATTCCTGGCTGGTTGTACATTTGTTATTTTCATTGTCGTTCTACTATCCTTTTCCCTATCTAGAATTTACGTTATTACTCGCAATTTATTTTCTACTGTATAGTGTGTTGCACATCGTTTGTGCTCGTTTCATTTTACCCTACTTTACACTATCTTTGTTTTACCTAGGACCCACGGTCGCATGCCAACTAGTTTTAGAGTGGTTTGAAACTAATCAGTTGCGCCCGTGTGCGATTGGTTTAAACAAGGGGCAGGATTTATTTTCATACTATATGTTCGATCACGGATTTTCTTCAAATTTTGTAACATTTTTAATAGTCCATTAAGACTACTGTATAGTGTTGCATTATGTATACATAATTCGCAAATATTAAGGCGTACTACTTTCTTCACGAAAGAATATGATCAGCGTGGAAAAAATGAAAACCCACGATTGGGATTCGAACCCACGACCAAGAGACTACGGAACCTCAAACGCTAACCACTTGACCATCGTCACTTCGTAATTACACTTGCAATGCACCGATACATATTCGGAGCGTAAAAACTTCTCTAACAATTTTCTCGAAAATGCCAAAGTAGTACGCCTTACGGAGGTTTCCTGAATTAGGAGGTCTAAAACAAGCGGTTTTTCGTGAATTTTTTTAGGATGGAAAAAAATAATTCCATCGAACTTTTTATCCTATTTTCATACATATTTGAGTGGTCTACAAATTTTTTCAACAAGATATATTCAAGTTAAGTCGACTGTGACGCACATTTGTAGAGCACCTCACAATAATATAGCTACAATAAATAATAAAAAATAATAAATAATACATATTATAATATATGAGAATTCTTTCCTATATATTACATGCGTATATGTATCTTATTCCTGGCTGGTTGTACATTTGTTATTTTCATACAACACTCGTGCTCGACCGATCACTTTATGGTTTGCCGATAGACTCAACCCCCTGTTTTATCTACGGGTTCTCTTCGAGAACAAAGTCAAACCGAATAGCATACCTCCCTCGAAATATGCAACTCGCCGGTACCGACCGAGCCAAACATTCTCCTTTCGAAACATACCTTCGTATTATTATAAGTGTTGGGAGAGATAATGGGTGGTCGTTTAATAATTGCTCAGTACGAATTGTTAACATTACGTACGTATTATAATAACGATTAGAAAGAAATTTTACGACATTCTCTTTCAACGGTGTATAAACTTCCGCGTCGCGTTACACACATCTTTTTTTTTCGTAGCTCGTTTGTACGCGCCACGTGAGTGTAGTGTCGGTACGGCTATTACTGTCGGTAAGGTATAATTCTGCAAAAAGCAACAGAAATATTCGAAGGAGTTTTAGGTGACTCGAGCTGTATATTGCTTATTTTTAATTCAAGGTTCATGCAAGGTACTTTGTTTTATATCTAACTCGGATCTCCTTTCCTATTAGTTGGACTCGGGATTTGTTGGAATAATATTATTTAGTCGATCCAAAAATATATTGGACTGTGTATTAAACAGAAGGCTGAGCTCTGTCTCCAAAAACCACTTGTTCTTTTTTTTTTATTTTTTTTTTTATTTTTTAATTGTGCTTTTATAGTTACATCCACCTCACAGGGTTATTACCAAACAATATGAATTTCTTATACGTCTAAATTTGGGTAAATAGTTTTGTTTGTTAAAGGAACATGATTAAGTCATTACAATTTAAATTGTATTGGTGGCGTTGTATCAGTGGTTCTTGTTCACATTTTTCATTCATAATTAAATAACGTCGTTCTCCTTAGTT